TGCAGCAAATGAGACTGTGGGGCCACCGAAGGGCTGATGCCGGATCGCTTTAAAGAACACCGGAACCTCGCTCGTACCCTCCACAAACAGAGGTCTGGAGGCACCCCCAGCCCTCAAAGCACGGCTTTTTCCACATCGTCAGAGTGGCAGCTCTTTTGTCTTGAGAGCCATGCCACCACTGTAATCCTGAATTTTGCTGAAGTATAGGCTGAGAGTTTCAGACACCAAGTGCAATTGAGGACAAGTGCATTTAGATGAGCACTACAGCATAGTAGAATTAGAAAGATCTTTGGTGCTTCCTGATCCTAGTAGCCATGCCCTTGTTTTCCCAATTCCAAGGTTCAGCAAAGGTCTTGTGTTGCAGCTGCGAAGCTGGCGCAGAGAAGTGCACCCCTTCGTTCGGAGTTGGGACTTGGGGGGGGACATGTGGAGTTCGAAGAAAGAAAGTTCCGAAGACGAAAAATCAGAAAGAAAAAGGCAAAGCGATCTCTTCCCCACTAGCGATGGCCTCCACCCTAGTAGCAATGGCCTCCAACCTACTAGCTGGAAGAAAAAGCAAGAAAGAAATACAGTACCCATGGAAGGGACAACAAGAAACATTACACAACACGGACATGTAAAATAGCATTCTTGTTCAAGGCAGCAGAGGTGCACCACTTAAGTCTGGATGATCGAAACCGAGACCGGGCTTGAAGGAGCTCGAGGGACCTCAAAGGAGATTGAAGCACAACAGTTGCTGGCATCCAGGTGCTGACATCAAAGCGATGTTTGTCGAAGGCACGTGATTGGGCATGTTTGTTTCTAGTAGGTTGGAGACCATCGCTCTTAGGTTGGAGGCCACTTCGTGATTTTGTTTGGATGCCGTCGAACCGCAAACATGGCACCCCAAAGTCGTGCCTGCCCACCTTCTGGCTGATGCATCCACAGACCATGTCCAAAAAGGAGAACAACCGGATTCCAGAGGTGTTCGCAATTTGGTGTTCGCAATACTTTCTGTGGCCATGCTTCCTTCGGAATTTGCATCAAAGCGGCTAGATGACCGCTGTAGGGTTATTTGGAGGTGTCGAGAACCTCAGGCGCGTTTTTTTGGTTTGGAGGAAGCCCACCAAAAGAAGCTGCAGTGGTATTTGCAATGCTAGGCCCCTCCACAAAGGCTGGAGAGTGTTGCAGTTAGTAACATTCAGTTTCACTTTGGTTGGAGACAGAGTCAAAGTCAACAAATCTCTACCAATCTCAACGCCAAACGATATGCCGCGTACGGTGTATGTGTTTTTCTCCTGAATGGAGGCCATCTCATCCAGCTCATCGTGGAGATCATGAAATTGCACAGAGGTGGTCAGATTTTCATAGCTTCTTGCTCCTAGTAGTACGGCCAGGAGCTACTAGTAGCGTCCTTGCTACTAGTAGCGATGCCCTTTGTTATTATCTTGATACTAGTAGCTTCTTGTTACTAGCGTTTTCAAAAACAATTTGTTTTCAAATTGTCAGAGTTGCAATCGAAAAATACAGTCGCATGCTGCTTAAGTGTTTTGTGGGTCAGTTTTGCTGCTACAGGGCATTTCTTGTTGTATATAGATACTGAATAATACTCATGCACACGCTTGGACATGGGAGCTTGGCCAAGCTTGATCTTTCGGGAAAGTGGGTGCTGGTGCAGTTTCTGTTTGTGGAGCGGGACGATGGCAAGACCCTGTAAGAGTTCTTGTAATAAATCAATGTGTTCTTGTCACAAGCAAAAAAGGAGCCAAAGAGGTAGCCGAAGGGTAGTGAAGGTGAAGACCTGATAGGCTTTTCAGTGCATTTCTAATACCGCAACCCCTAGCGTTCTCATTTTCCAGGTTCAGAAGTCCTGCAGAAGCTGGCCTGTGTGGTGCTTCTGAGATTTGACCTTAGCACCGACATGGCTCCAACTATATGCGTCCGACAAGTATGTTACCGGCAACATTCGTCAACCGTAGAGGATGCTACTAGGAGCAAAGGGCATCGCTACTAGGAGCAAGGACAATACTAGGGGCTCCTGGCCTTACTACTAGTAACAAGTGCATCGCTACTAGGAGCAAAGATGGCTTGCTTTTGCAGTCGAAATGGGCACATGCCTCATTCCCCAAAGACCTCGTCCTGCCTCGGATGAGTGTTTTTTTATTATTAAACAAAATCATTTTTCCAAGGTTTGGTGGACCATAGCGAAGAGTGTCGTGCAGAAATGGTGCAAAACCATTGCTTGGAGAACGCTTGTAGGGCTCTCCAGGTGGGCCGTTGATGGACATGTCGGAACTTTGCTCCTAGTAGCGAACATTGCTCCTAGTAGTAAGGCCAGGAGCCCCTAGTAGCGCCCTTGCTCCTAGTAGCGATGCCCTTTGCTCCTAGTAGCGACGCCCTTTGCTCCTAGTAGCGTCCTCTACGATTGAATGCAAGAGGACACATCCAAATTGAATAAGTGAAAGAAAGGAGGAAGAAAGGACAGGCCTACAGGTCCAAAGAAGAAGAGAACGAAAAGACAACAAACAAAGGAGCAGATAAAGGAGAACTAGAAGAATAAACAAGATTCCAAACGACGGAAACATCGAACTTAAATATGAAGCGGTTTCCTTAGCTTGTTATGGCTTCCAAAGCTGGCTTTTCCTTTGGCTGCTTGCTTTTGTGCATTCCACAGTGATATCAGTGATATGTCTCAAGACTCACAAAGAAACACGAACAAACAAACACTTATGTGGACTTTGTGCTAGGATCATCCCATGGTTGCAGAGTTGCAGGAGCAAGCGTCCGTTGCCCCAAAACCACTCAGCAGTCTGAAAGTATGGGAGGATGAAGTGCGGACATCATGAGTCCTTACAGACGTGATCTCGAGCACTGTTTACAAAACCTCAAATATCCTTTTACTAGACAGAGAATGGAATGAGCCATGACTCACTGCGAAAAGGAACCCTCTTTCGACCAACCCAAGAGTCGAGTCCAAGAGTTCTGTTCGCTGAGCCGCTGAGCTCTTCCTCTTTTCAACGCAACCGCTCTGAGGCTGCTGCTCCTCGCTACCCTGGCGGCCGACGGTCCAGAAGTTCGCCGCAGGTGCTGCAGTTTGAGAGGAAACACATCGAAGTCCCCCCTAGTAACCTAGTAGCGTCCTTTGCTCCTAGTAGCGATGCCAGGAGCCCCTAGTAGCGTCCTTGTATCGAACAAATGACGAAGTGACATGTGAGACAATTAAGAGCCCGCTCTTGCACGTCTACCTCTCATAAAAGACGCTTCAACGCTGTCAATCAGCTCTTGCAGCTCTCGCAGCGAGGTTGGCTGGCACAAATGGGCTGATGCTGACATTGCATGCAATGCAGGTTTCGTTTTCGTTTCGGATTCACAGCAGATGGATTTCACAGCGGTGTTGAGAGATCTTTTCACAAGTTCTGTGGTCATGGTCACAATTGCCTGCATTGCTGCCACTGGCTTCGACTTTCATGTGCAGGTTTGCATCGATAGCGAGGAGGCTTGGGCATGTTTTCAATGCAGATCTTGCACACGCCTTGAAGGTCTGCAATGGTCAGGCCATGGTACCTTCAAGAAGAGCAACATAGAAGAGGTCAACATTGTCCACAGGTTCTATCCAACCTGTTCCACACCAGAATTGCGAGCCACCAACAGAGTACAGATGTGTGGAGTGGGGGGTTGTGGAAGTATGTGGAGTCTGGGATAGTCTGGGTCTGTTGGATTTCTAGAGGTTCACAGAGGTTCACAGTGCCTGCAAACATCCGCAAAACCTTTGCGTGAGCACTCGACCACGTGCGCTGCAGCTACTGCGATCTGCAAGCAGAAACCACGGCCAGCGTGCGTCGTTGAATGTTGGCATGACAATCCCCTGACGCGCTCTGCGGTGCCCTCACTATTGTTACTAGTAGTAAATAGTAGTAAGAATGCTACTAGTAGTAATGCCCTTTGTTGCTAGTAGCGATGTCCTTGCTCCTAGAAGCTTCTTGTTCGTAGTAGCAATGCGGGGAGCTACTAGTAGCATCCTTGATGCCTTGCCCTCACCATGCCATTTTCTCTCACCATCCATTTAAAGATCGACTTGAGTGAAACATGAAGAACTTGCTCCTCGTGTGCGATGGAAGCGTTTCCTGCAGGTGCAAAGAGAAAATGGCCAGTTATTGGCCACTTGGGGCGAAGACGACTCCCGATACTTCCAAGAGATTTTGGACTCTGATGGCCTCGTGCCAGTGGTCTCCGGTATGCCAAAGCCTCACGCATGGGTCAAGTGGCAGACGGGGCCTCCAGATGTGCAGAAGAGACTTCCATGCTTTCATAGAAAAAGACAAGGAAGAAAACAGATGAAAGAACAGCTAATGATGAAGGGATTAAGTAAGGATTACGTAGGGATTACATTAAAGGCATGTCAATTGCTGGAAGAGTTTCACCAAGGCAGAGACACGTTGAGTGTGGCCCCCGGGTGTGCTGGGTTGGAGCCTGCGCCTTCCTGACCTCTTGCTCCTAGTAGCGTCCTTGTTCCTAGTAGTAAGGCCTAGTAGCGATGCCAGGAGCCCCTAGTAGCTTCTTGTTACTCTCTCTCTCTCTTTTTTGTTTCAACAAATTTCAGAATGTGAAGAAGTGTCAGGAAGATTGACTGGCAAGGTTACAATGTGAGGATCCTGGCGGTATGTTTCCACATGGCACACCAAATGTTGGAGTCGAGCCATGTAGCTTAAGGCAGTCGGCCCCCGCGGCCGCCGTGAGACGTTCTCCGGTTTCATGCCATGTACTACGTGACGGCGCGATGTGTGCGGGATGTGCTAGGTTGGAATGAGCGCCTGCTCGGACTGTCGCGTTTTTTCAGGAGGCCTCCAGAAAAAGTCGAACAAAAACAACGCTCAAGGTTTGATGCAACAAACCCCACCACGAATTGAAGCATCAAACCAACCAGTTGTATTTGGAGGTGCAGGTCCTCTAGCATTCAGAAGATACGCTCAAAAAATCCAAGTATCAGAGATATCCTTTTGTGCTTTGGTGAGACTGTTTGAATGGCACTACGTGTGAGAGCGCACAGAGCGAAGCCGAGGTGTCGGAGAGTGCAAGAAGAGTTCTCTGAGCTCATGCGGTTGTTGGCTAACCACTCTCAGGAGAGGCATAGGGCTAGTAGGAAGGCACCTTACTACTAGTAACAAGAAGCTACTAGGGCTTCCTGGCCTTACTACTAGGAGCAAGGACGCTACTAGGGGCTCCTGGCATCGCTACTAGTAGCATTCTTACTACTAGTAACAAGGAGCTACAAGCCTACTAGCGATGGTCTCCAACCTAAGAGCGATGGCCTCCACCCTAGTAGCGATGGCCTCCAACCTAGCAGCCTTGGCTAACCACTCTCAGGAGAGGCCATGTTGGATTTTGGTTGTTAGCTGAGAAGCTATGCCATTGAGACCAACATATAAGCTATGGCTAGCTGCCCTAGGCCCAGGCATGCCAGCAAAGTGTTCGGGGCAACATTAAGGCCCAAACAAACTAAGGACAGGTTGCATTTTTCCATTTTTCCTAAGGTAAGTCACTTAGGACAAAAGACGCTTCAGGTATCAACATCCATCCAACGTTTCCTTCCTGCCTTTTGGTATTCCACGAATCACCCAACAGTGAAGATGAACACCGAAAAGAAAGGAGGCCATCGCAAGTAGGTTGGATGGCCATTGTTCCTCTCCAGGAGGGAAGGGACAAGGTCATCGCTGCTGGAGGCATTGAAGCAGCTTTATCCTTAGTGCCTTAGTGGATGCCGCGAGCTGCTCTAAGATTTTCCTTTGAACTTCACGTTCACGGTTGCGGTATTTTCAATGTTTTCTTTGGTTTTTAACAATCAGGTTGGAGGCCATCGCTCTTATGTTGGAGGCCATCGCTCTTGCTAGTAGGTTGGAGGCCATTCCTAGTAGGTTGCAGGCCATTGCTAGTAGGTTGGAGGCCACCGCTAGTAGGTTGGAAGCCATCGCTCTTAGGTTGGATCGCTCTTAGGTTGGAGGCCATCGCTCTTAGGTTGGAGGCCATCGCTCTTAGGTTGGCCATTGCTACTAAGTTGGAGGCCATCGCTCTTGGGTTGGAGGCCATTCCTAGTAGGTTGGAGGCCACCGCTAGTAGGTTGGAGGCCATCGCTAGTAGGTTGGAGGCCATTCCTAGGTTAGAGGCCATCGCTAGTAGGTTGGAGGCCATCGCTAGTAGGTTGGAGGCCATTCCTAGGTTAGAGGCCATCGGTCTTAGGTTGGAGGCCATCGGTCTTAGGTTGGAGGCCATCGCTATTAGGTTGGAGGCCATCGGTCTCAGGTTACTGTTGCTTCTTTATTGCCACTTGTTGAGGATTGAGATCTGTGAGGCGGTCAGGTTTTCTGATTTCTCTGCATGTTCTGATGTCCGAGATGCTGGATGGCATGAATGCCAATCGGAAGAGCGATGAGTGGCCGGCTAAGGGCAAGAAGGACTTTGAAATGCAACTCTTGGCCTTAACTACCCGAAATAGTCTACCCTCAAAAGAAAAGGACAGGACAATAATATATAGAAAATATTAAACAATACAAGTTCTTTTCTGAGGAAGAATAACCCTCAATCCTCAACTTGGCCGTGAGATCCAACACTCCACCGGACGGCCTTCCTAATGGCTCCTCGTAAGGCTTGCCTACCGGAGTTGTGCAACCCTGGCCATCCTGGCAAAGGGCAACCGAGCTGCAGTGGCCGGGCTCGCCCGAATCAAGGGAGGGAGACACTCAAAAAGATTTGTATAACGTCTAATATACAGAAAACATGGTAGTAGGTTGGAGGCCATCGCTAGTAAGTTGGAGGCCATCGCTCTTGGGTTGGAGGCCATCGCTAGTAGGTTAGCAGCCATCGCTATTAGGTTGGATGCCATCGCTCTTGGGTTGGAGGCCATCGCTAGTAGGTTAGCAGCCATCGCTATTAGGTTGGAGGCCATCGCGATTAGGTTGGAGGCCATCGCTCTTGGGTTGGAGGCCATCGCTAGTAGGTTGGAGGCCATCGCTATTAGGTTGGACGCCAACGCTATTAGGTTGGAGAATGGGTTGCAAAGGTCTTTTCCGTTCCCTCTTGAGTTCTTTTTCTTTTTCACGTTTGGTGCCAGGCGCGTATTGCAAAGCACAATGGCGCCAAGCACATTGTTCGAGTCGGGCCGAGCCCAGTTGTAGCGAAAACGGACTCAATCAGGTTGGGAAGAATTGATGACCCCCTCCGCTCCAGGTTTTGAAGTACAAGTCGTTTGTTGAGCACTCTGAACCTCAAACCGCTGAGTGAATATAAAACCAACCTGTCGACTGTAGAGATCTCCAAGTTCTTCATTGCGTGGTTCTTCCCTAACGTCTTCAATGAACTTATGAATCCTGGACACTATAGCCAGGCACTGGCAAACAAGGTAGCAACAGGTTTTTCAAATCCTTCCCCTGTTCCATTCCTTTGCATGTTGTATTCGCAAGCCATTCCATTCCGAATTTTATTGATTCCTTACATTCCTTCTTTTCTTTTCTATTCCAATCTTCCATCCTTCAAATTGAACCTGCATGTTTCATCGATCGCTTGCACGGTCTGCAGTCGTTCGGCTGCGAGGGACATGGAACGTTTTGCCCTGTGTGCCTCTTTCATCCTCTTTCGGCTGAGCCTAGCAACCTAGAAGCTAGTAGTAACAAGTGCATCGCTACTAGTAACAGGTGCCTTACTACTAGTAACAAGTGCATCGCTATTAGTAACAAGTGCCTATCCACCCAGCCAGCGCCATAGGCCATGCTTGTTTCGCGGGATCGAGCAGACCTACAAGAATGTGCGCTGGAAGCGCTTCGCGCCATTTCAGCTGACGATGTGGGGCACCCAATACCACCATTGCTGAGGAATTTGGTTGTAGAACCCAGATGCACTAGCCCAAAGTAGTCCCTGGTCCTTTTTGCTCCCCTTTGACACCAAGACGCTTGAACCAAATGACGTTGCGAGTCCTTGCTTCAAGTTTTGGTTGAACAAGTGTTGGTTGAACAATCTCTTCGGAGAGTGATCCAATGTGATTTCGTTAATATCAAAACAGTTTAAACACATTGTATTGTATGACATCATCATATTCTATGTCAGCATCCTTTCACGCCGGCGATCTATTTGATGTTTGATGCATGTCCGGCCCTTCTGGAATTAACTTGATCCGATGATGAAGATGAAAGATGCAATCCTTGAAGATTCAGACAGTCTGACTTGAGGAAGATGTCCCTGGAGAGATTTCTGCCAATGGTGGTGTGCAATTTGCAGGGAGCTAAGTTCACTTCTTGAGAAAGCCTTCGCAGCCATGACCTTCATATACCTCCAGGACCTTACCTGTTGGAATCACCTTTGCTACTAGGGTGGAGGCCATCGCTACTAGGGTGGAGGCCGCCACAAGACCTTAGTCTTGTTGATGTGTCTCAGCGCAGGTTTGCCAGGCCTTGATGGATTTCAAGCATATTGAGGCAATTCAAGAGTTCAGACCTCAGGCGAGCAGACCCAGTAAGAAGCATCGCTAGTAGTAACAAGTGCATCGCTACTAGTGACAGGTGCCTTACTAGTAGTAACAAGGTTCAGACCTCAGGCGAGCAGACCGGATGGCGATTGGATTTGTGTCTAGACCTTCTCTCGGCACTCGAACAAATGCTCTCCGTCTTCGAGCGATCTTGGCTTTTTGGCCTTGCCGGGACAAACACATCCAGTGGATCAAGGAGCCATTGATCTCGGAAACCTAAAGCTGAACATGCCACTTGCACTCAGCCTGTGGAAAGCCACAATCCCTGGGCAGTGGAAGACACTTGACGACATGATTTTAATGGCAATGAGTTGCATGAATGCAGATCACTTCAAATTTCACGGTTTTAGTAATTTGCCACTACCCAAGTGCAACTTTGGCGAGAGAGCAAACAGATTCGAAGTGAAGTCAAAAACCAAAGCGTAGCACACCATGCTGGGTGGAGACTTGATGAATTAGTAACAAGAAGCTACTAGTAACAAGTGCCTTACTAGTAGTAACAAGAAGCTACTAGTAACAAGTGCCTTACTAGTAGTAACAAGAAGCTAGTAGAAACAAGTGCATCGCTTCTAGTAACAAGTGCCTTACTAGCAGTAACAAGAAGCTACTAGGAACAGTCTTTGAAGTATCTCTTGTTCCTAGTAGCGTCCTTGTTACTACTAGTAAGGCACTTGTTACTAGTAGCTACTAGTGCTAGGAGCCGCGCCAAGGCACGGTCTCGCTGCCCTGGCAAACTTGGCCTGGGACAGTGCAACTTGGATGATTGGAACCTACCTCCAAACTACTAGCAAATGACCTCCAACCTGCTAGCAAATGACCTCCAACCTGCTAGCAAATGACCTCCAACCTGCTAGCAAATGACCTCCAACCTGCTAGCAAATGACCTCCAACCTGCTAGCAAATGACCCCCAAACTACTAGCAAATGACCTCCAACCTGCTAGCAAATGGCCTCCAACCTGCTAGCAATGGCCTCCAACCTGCTAGCAATGGCCTCCAACCTAATAGCGATGGCCTCCAACCTAATAGCGATGGCCTCCAACCTAATAGCGATGGCCTCCAACCTAATAGCGATGGCCTCCAACCCAATAGCGATGGCCTCCAACCTAACAGCGATGGCCTCCAACCTAATAGCGATGGCCTCCAACCTACTAGCGATGGCCTCCAACCTGCTGGCAATGACCTCCAACCAAATAGCGATGGCCTCCAACCAAATAGCGATGGCCCCCAACCAACTAGCGAGGCCAACCTACTAGCGATGGCCTCCAACTACTAGCGAAGGCCTCAAACCTACTGGCAATGGCCTCCAACCTACTAGCCATGACCTCCAACCTGCTACCAATGGCCTCCGACCTACTAGCAATGGCCTCCAACCTGCTAGCAATGGCCTCCAACCTACTAGCGATGGCCTCCAACCTAATAGCAATGGCCTCCAACCTACTAGCGATGGCCTCCAACCTAATAGCGATGGCCTCCAACCCAAAAGCCAAAGTTGGTTCGCGAGAGTTGTTTTGCTAAGGGGTATCCTTTCGCGACCCCGCAGGAAAAAAGATTTAAAACAAAATCGATTTTTACCGTTTTTACCGCGGATATGGTAGACAAAAAGGGAGCCCCCCCCCGGTAAACATGGCAAAACTTTATTTTTTTTTTTTTTTTTTTTTTGACTTTTACCGTTTTTACCGCGAATATGGTAGAAGAAAAAGGAGAGCCTCCCCGGTAAAAACGGTAAAAAATATCATTTTCGATTTTTACCGTTTTTATCGCGGATATGCCATTTAAACATGGAGCGCTCCCCAGCAAAAAAGATTAAAAGCAAAGATTTTTATCGTTTTTGCCACGGAGATGGTAGAAAAGAAAAGGACAAGTCCACCTACAAAAACGGATAATATCACAACTTTGATTTTTAACGATATGGTAGAAGCAAAAAGAGCAAGCGACTCTTCATTAAAAAAGGTAAACAACAAAAGTAGTAATTTTCACTTTGGACCGTTTTTTGCCGCGAGAATGCCTCGGGACCAGGTCGCAAGCTAGAAGACCTCTGTCAACAAAAAGGTTTAATGTTACAGCCCGGGTATCTTCCTATAACCAGGTGGGGTTCACTCCTCCTATCATATAGGAGCGTGTGCCCTTTTCGACAAGAGGAGTTTGGTGATTGATCAAAATTTCATGACTTTTAACTTTTGCAGGGCAATGAAAGCCTACATCACTTGGATCGAAAACTTTTGATTTTTACCTACCGCGGATATGGCAGAAGAAACAGCGGTGACCCTCCGTTAAAAACTGAAAAAAACATAGACCCGTTTGCCCCCCTCGATCAAAACGGTACAAAAAGAACAACAATTAATTTTACCGTTTTGATCGCGGATATGGTATTGAAAAAGGAAGCGCCCCCGGTAAAAGCCGAAAAAAAGAATCAATTTTTGCCGTTTTTACCGCGGATATGGTAAAAGAAAAAGGAGCGCCCCCTCGGTAAAAACGTTAAACACACAGTATTTGTTTTTCGATTTTTACCGTTTTTACCGCGGATATGGTAGAAGAAAAAGGAGCGCCCCCCCGGTAAAAACGATAAACACATAAAATGATTGATTTTTATCGTTTTTACCGCGGATATGGTAGAAGAAAAAGGAGCACCCCCGGTAAAAACGATAAACACATAACATGATTGATTTTTACCGTTTTTACAGCGGATATGCTAGAAACAAAGGGGCGCCCCCCCCGGAAAAAACGGTCAAAAAATGAACATTTTCGATTTTGACCGTTTTTACCGCGCAGATGCCTCGGATTAACCCCGTAACCCCGGCAACTACGCTAAACCAGCACAGTAGCTACTAGCAATGAAAGGCCTCTAACCTACTAGCAATGGCCTCCAGCTAGCAATGGCCTCCAACCTACTAGCAATGGCC